GACCAGCTAATTACAAACGTACGCTAATGAGTGACATAAAAAAAAAAATGCAGTCTGGAAAGCAGCATTAGGCTATTTCTCAGTCTAATCTTTCATTTAGGCCTACTCTACCGTACTTGTTTTTCTTTTATCTCTTACACCTATCTCCGATTTTAACTGAAACTGTAAATATACATTTTAGAAGATTCCTGCACTGAAGATCGAAGCTCTTAAAGATCATATAGGCTGCGTTTACACAGGCAGCCCAATTCTTATCTTTGATCAATTATTGGCAAAAGAGCTGATACATTTGTCAAAAGATCAGAATTGGGCTGCCTGTGTATTGCAGGTGGTTCAGACAGTCAGTGTATTTGGTCCACTTAGCATAAAAATAGCAGACACCAGAACATTACAAACGTTACTCCCTGGCTCTGCCCAACCCCGACTCTTCATAATGCTGTGTGTGGTCTGTAGTGGACTGGTCCGCCAGTCTGTGTGAACCATGGCAGTAGGCCTAGTATCTGTAGCTATAGTAAAAGCACATTCAAGAAGAAAGAATCCTTAACATGAATTATAGTTTAACTTCTTCTCTAGTCTTCTGTAGAGTTCTGCTGTGGGTGAAAAGCTGTCACTAGGCCTATATTCAGTGCTGTGATATACCATGGTAATGAGTTAGAGGCTCCTTGTTTGGTGAGGAGGGAGGGTGGATTGTGTATGGTCACGGAGAATGCTGTTTATATTTAATTTCCCCGGGGGGAGGGTGGTAATGTTGTTAACCCATATAGCTGGGGTGTGAACTGTAGAGCCAGCTGTAGCCTCTGGGCCTTCCCAGCTCCCACTGGAGCCAGCTGCAACTAATCCTACTGTAGGCTACAGTCAGACACTTAACAAGTATGAGATTTACCTCTTTAATTGGTAGCTTGACTCTCCTTTCTGTGGATGTGTGGATGGCTTGTTTCTTGTGAGTGTTTTTACAGTGTGCAAATAGACTATTGTGATGAAGTGGATTGGGTAGATGTAGAGTCAATCCGTATCAGCCCATTGATGTGTGTCATATGATCGCACAGTGAGCTCACCATAGAGACAGACAGGGTGTAGACAAGGGGCTCTTCCCTGGCTCTTCAGTCTGCAAATCTGAGCCCTGTTGGCAGGTGGAACTGCCTGAAATAACCCCACCCAGGGGGATGGGAGGGGGAGGCAGGCAGGAGAAAGCCCCTCTGAAGCTCCCTGGCCTGGGCAACCTTGCTGGGAAAGGTCGGAGACCCCGCCCCCCCCCCCCCCCCCCCCCCCCCGGCTCCACTGACTGATTCATTGGGCTGGGTTAGAGCCCTGCACAGGTATGAATTTTAATCCCGAGCCCTACCCATGCCCGCGATGTTCAGGCCCTACACTACCCAGGCCAGATCGCTTCTGCCAAATTGAAGGCCCTGCCCGAAATCAGAAACAACTTCCTCTGTTAGGAAAGCCATTAGCTGCTCCTCTATGTATGTCACTCGCTCTGCATGCTGCACTCTGCTCATGGAGGCTCTGAGTCTGAGGATCCATAGCAACGGCTCCGCTTGGGCTGCTCTGTTCAATGAAGACACATTAGAGGGCAGTTAGCTGTTAGCTACTTTTCCTCACTCTAAACTCGGATTTTAGCTATAGGCTACTTTGAAGCAAGGTAAGACAGGCCTCATAATATGAAGTAAAACGTCCAGGTTTCAAACAATTGTAAGGAACAGTAAAAATGTAGTGACGCTAATGATAGGCCTAACAGTCTTCTGGTAGAAGGAAAGGCTTTCCCAAAAACCTGGACGTTAAATGTTAACTAGCTGCAAAGTAACCTGGCTAATGATAGGCCTAACAGTCTTCTGGTAGAAGGAAAGGCTTTCCCAAAAACCTGGACGTTAAATGTTAACTAGCTGCAAAGTAACCTGGCAGAATGACATCATGATTATTTGCATCAATCCAGTGGCCATTTGTTTTTTTAAACTCCATATCATTTGCTACTGAAACACTGTTAACCAAACAAATGTGCTAGGTGCCTGTGCACTTGAATTAAAGGGTAACTACACAAAAACATCTAAATGTATTTTTCCCAGACCTCAAAAGTGGTCTCCTAATGTGGTTTAAGCATTGTTATGGACTTAGACTACAAATGTTGTTTTTTCCATTTTAAAAAAGTGTGACCTGAGGGGAAAAAATAGGACAAATCTGTTTTAATAGTTGGTGTACTATTATCCTACTGCACAGTACAGCTTGGGTTGGCCTGACTGAAGGACCAATATGGGAATGATCGTTTTAGGTCAGTCAGAGTGTATGTCACTGTTTCTCATCGAAAAAATAAATAATACATTCCAATTTAGATTTTTTGGGCCTGTATCATGCAGCCCTAGTATGGACTCATCCTGAATTAACTCTGCTGGGATCATTGATTGCAATTACTGTCCTACTTGAGATCATTGTCTGCTGGAGAGGGCTGCTGTCTGAGGACATTGGGCTAAATCTGTTCTGAACACATCTACAGAAGGTCATCAACCCAGATTTCTGTCTGGGGAGGCAGGGTCTCTGTGGGCCTCATTGATGCTGTTTTCCCTGGAACACAGTCTCCTGTGTGTTTGTTGTTGTGGAAGTGGAGGGTTAGGACTCCGGGAAGGGGGCTGCTTTCATCACAATACTCCCTCAGTTCTATCCTACCCCTCATTTCTCAACCACCAGATCTAAACATTCAGCACTTTTCTCTCTCACTGTTGTCTTTCTAGTAAGTGCAGCATGATTTAATTGATTTGCAGAGCGTCATACATCTTGGCAGAAATCACAAGCATATCAGAGCCCTATGGAATTCTTCTGACATTCAGGAATGAGTTGAGAATGGAATTTTTTAAAGTCAAATTCCTCTCCAGCTGTTGCTCTACGAGTTGACTGGCTGAGAGAGAGAGAAGGAAAGAGGGAGGGAGCTAGTGGTAGAAGGGAGGGTAGTGGAGAAGTTTTGGCGAGTGAGGGAAGCATCTCTGGAGGGGTGGCTGAGGTGATGAAGGCCAGTGACAGGAGAACGCAGCAGCGACCAGAGAAATGCAGGATGACATAACACATAGCAGCTGGGGAGTTGTGTGTGTGTGTGCCCCTGGTGAAGGAAGTCTCCCCAACCCTTATAAGGCCTGCAGAGAATGCTTGGCCTGCTGTTGTTTTAGTCCTCCTTTCCTGACTGCCTCACTACTATACGCCGGCCAGCTCTCTCTGTCCCCGTTTCCTGACTGCCTCACTACTATACGCCGGACAGCTCTCTCTGTCCCCATTTCCTGACTGCCTCACTACTATACGCCGGACAGCTCTCTCTGTCCCCGTTTCCTGACTGCCTCACTACTATACGCCGGACAGCTCTCTCTGTCCCCGTTTCCTGACTGCCTCACTACTATACGCCGGACAGCTCTCTCTGTCCCCGTTTCCTGACTGCCTCACTACTATACGCCGGACAGCTCTCTCTGTCCCCGTTTCCTGACTGCCTCACTACTATACGCCGGACAGCTCTCTCTGTCCCCGTTTCCTGACTGCCTCACTACTATACGCCGGACAGCTCTCTCTGTCCCCGTTTCCTGACTGCCTCACTACTATACGCCGGACAGCTCTCTCTGTCCCCGTTTCCTGACTGCCTCACTACTATACGCCGGCCAGCTCTCTCTGTCCCCGTTTCCTGACTGCCTCACTACTATACGCCGGACAGCTCTCTCTGTCCCCGTTTCCTGACTGCCTCACTACTATACGCCGGACAGCTCTCTCTGTCCCCGTTTCCTGACTGCCTCACTACTATACGCCGGACAGCTCTCTCTGTCCCCGTTTCCTGACTGCCTCACTACTATACGCCGGACAGCTCTCTCTGTCCCCATTTCCTGACTGCCTCACTACTATACGCCGGACAGCTCTCTCTGTCCCCATTTCCTGACTGCCTAACTACTATACGCCGGCCAGCTCTCTCTGTCCCCATTTCCTGACTGCCTCACTACTATACGCCGGCCAGCTCTCTCTGTCCCCATTTCCTGACTGCCTCACTACTATACGCCGGCCAGCTCTCTCTGTCCCCATTTCCTGACTGCCTCACTACTATACGCCGGCCAGCTCTCTCTGTCCCCATTTCCTGACTGCCTCACTACTATACGCCGGCCAGCTCTCTCTGTCCCCGTTTCCTGACTGCCTCACTACTATACGCCGGACAGCTCTCTCTGTCCCCATTTCCTGACTGCCTCACTACTATACGCCGGACAGCTCTCTCTGTCCCCATTTCCTGACTGCCTCACTACTATACGCCGGACAGCTCTCGCTGTCCCCGTTTCCTGACTGCCTCACTACTATACGCCGGCCAGCTCTCTCTGTCGCCATTTCCTGACTGCCTCACTACTATACGCCGGACAGCTCTCTCTGTCCCCATTTTTATTTATCTTTCCTTTTCATGCACACATTCTCTGCCTGGGCTGTGTTCAGTACGAAAAAACATAGTGAACGGTTCCTGTGAAGTAGATTTTGGAGAAAAGTGTCGTTCAGTACAAAGTGTTACGCAACGTACCCAACGTTCAATCAAACTAAACGCAGTAACCATGCTCTCTCTTGCCACTCTGTCTGGTTGACTGTCACTGTTATGGTTGTCAAGGTCATCGCTGGGATGCTGTAGTGAGGAGGCGTCACTCCTGTCCTGTCACGGAGGCCACTGTCCTAACATGTGTTGTTGTCACTGTGACAGCACATCCTCCTCTGTCGGTGTGTGACTTGTTGCAGGGCAGGTTGAGTTCACATTTAGTTCCTGTTTCCTGGCTGGATGTTGACAGAATTTCAGTCATGATCATCTGTTTTCACTAGTTCTCTATTCTATACTCACAGATGTGCATCGCTGCACTGCATTCCCCTGCCTACTGCCTAACTCCACTCTGCTGTTTTCACTAGATATCAACACTTTGAAGGCTTACTTAAAGGCACTTAATGTTTCAATATCCCATTAGGCCTAGCAGGCACAGGGAGTTTTTGCTTACCTCTCATTTACTAACAGGCCTATGCTGTAAGTAGCACTATCTCACGTCCTTTAGTACTGAGAAGCCAGATAGGCCTACACAATTACTCAGCGATAAAGAGTCCTGCTAGGTGGTTTCACTTCTATACTGCTGTTATATTTCCGTGTTGTGACAGGGTTGTGTGGTCTCATATTTAGCCTCTGGTCATTTTACAAATAAATACGTTTTCATTTAATTTCCCTTTCCTCATTGCTAGTAGTAAACAGTCTGTGGTGTGAAAGCAGTACGGTGTGATGTTAAAGTGGTGCTGAATTCTGTCCTCAGGGATGACCATGGCTTCAGTCCTCTCCACTGGGCCTGCAGGGAAGGCCGCTCCAGCGTGGTGGACATGCTCATCATGAGAGGGGCTCGCATCAACGTGATGAACCGAGGAGATGACACGCCCCTGCACCTGGCCTCCAGCCACGGCCACAGAGACATCGTGGGCAAGGTGGGGCGGAGTGGACACACACTGCACACACACTACTTACACAAACACTTGAGGTCAATTATATAATTGGGTTGATATAGCTTCTCTTTAGGTTGATATAGCTTTCCCTATAAAAGCCTAGGAAGGAACTTATGAAACCAGAGTTGATGGCTGCCCAACACCCCAACTCACTGCATGGTTAAGACTTGTCTGCTCTTGTTGCAGTGCTGACTGACATCAGTCGCTGTGCTGACTGACATCAGTCGCTGTGCTGACTGACATCAGTCGCTGTGCTGACTGACATCAGTCGCTGTGCTGACTGACATCAGTAATTTCACAGAGGGAGAAAACACTGGCACCATTTCTCAGATAGTGTTGGGTGGATATTGTTTTTAAACTGTACTCAGCTGCAACATAACATCTTCAACTCATGCCTAAGCAAGTCAAAGTGTAACACTTTGATACACACACACACACTGTGATTTGTCAGTTATTTTATTTTAAATAATGTTTTCTTTCTTTCTGGTCCTTCTAGTTACTGCCTAACTCTCAAATCGTATGCCGTTCAATGCAGTAGTGTTAGTCTGCTGTGACCGGTTGTCTGGTTTTGTAGCGCTGCAGACCACGGTTATGATTTGGTTTAATATTAGACATGTCACAATACCTCTGGAATGTGTGAGCAGGCAAGATAAATCATTTTCCAGGCCTGCCATAGGTGGATTACTAGCATCACTGTATATAATCCAAACAGGATCTGGACAGCCTTGTGTTGTGTGTGTAACCTAATTTTGTGGTTCTGTCTCCTAGCTGATCCAGTGCAAAGCAGACACCAACACTGCCAATGAGCACGGCAACACACCACTGCATTACGCCTGCTTCTGGGGACAGGACCTAGTGGCTGAGGTCAGTATGCCCCCTGGTGGCGTACTCTGGGTACTGTCTCTGTTTCTATGTGAACAACAGTTTATGTGCCACTGGAGTTAAATTGATGTCTGTATTCCTCAGGACCTGGTGACTAACGGCGCTCTGGTGAACATCTGTAATAAGTATGGAGAAACTCCTCTGGACAAAGCCAAACCTCACTTGCGTGAAGCCCTCCAAGGTATTCAAAATCCTATTACTCTGCACCATCTATTGTTGGCAAGAAAATTGTGATTATTATCTGTGTTAGCCCTGTTACCTAATCAATGCGTGCTTTGTGTTCGCCCCCCCCCCCCCCCCCTCTCAGAGAAAGCAGAGAAGTTGGGCCAGAGTTTGACCAAGGTCCCCTTCAAGGACACATTCTGGAAAGGCACCACCAGAACTCGACCCCGTAAGTCCCACAGCAATAAAGCCATTTACGAGCTGCCTGGTTTTCATTACTACGCTCTGAGAAAACAAGACGTGAATATCAGGCACAGTTCATAGGAATGAATGAACAGCTAGTAAATGTTCGTCTGAGGTCTCTTTGGTAGTCCCCAATGTGCTTGATGAAATTTCCCCTGTCTTTCAGTGTGCTAAATTGTGCAGAAATAAAAGGGCTTTTTGCCAGACCTAGGGCTTTAGCGTTGCTCTTCAACTCTGTCCGTCAATGCGTGCAGGTAACGGCACTTTGAACAAAGCAGCGGGCATTGACTTCAAACAGCTCTCCCTCCTGGCTAAGATCAATGAGAACCAGTCTGGAGAGGTATGGAGGTGTTTCTACATGACTGCTGTTATTTTTTATCTGTTACTGATGTCCACAATAACACATGTTACAAAGTGATCAATCTCTAAAACGCTGACACACACCAGCATGGAGTTCTACTGTATATTGTCATTGTGGAGGTTATGCTGGAACTTTGTCTCAATCCTACTTTTTTCTTTAGTTGTGGCAAGGCCGCTGGCAAGGGAATGAGGTTGTGGTGAAAGTGTTGAAGGTTCGCGACTGGTCCACCAGAAAGAGCAGAGACTTCAATGAGGAGTATCCCAAACTCAGGTAATAACTTTTTACCCGCTTATTGTTCATTGTAGGTGTATTTTCTCCTGTTCTGTGGATATCATGTCTGTCTTCCTCTTGTATCTTTTTATTTATTATTATTTACTGACATGTTGATCTGTATGGAAGTTATTTTGGTTTGGATATGTCCCATCCTATATGTATATTTGTCTGTCTCCTCCCCCCTGTCCCTCTTCCTCTGGGCCCATCCCAGGATATTCTCCCACCCCAATGTGCTGCCCATGTTGGGAGCGTGTCAGTCTCCTCCCGCCCCTCACCCCATCATCATCACACACTGGATGCCCTATGGCTCCCTCTACAACGTGCTTCACGAGGGCACCAGTGAGTACCACACTAACCTGCACTGTACTAAAGCCTTCCAATGTGGGACAGTACATTGAGATAAGGTCATTGATTCATAGAATATGCCTGGACGTCTGTTTGAAGTGCAGGCTTACGAATTGGAAAATATATAGTTATTAATGTTACTGTACTACTTACTGGAGAAGGAATACAATGTTACAGCTGTTGCTGACGTGTGAAAAATGACTGACATGGATCTGTTGTCTTTGTCGTCTGTCAGACTTTGTGGTTGACCAGACACAGGCAGTGAAGTTTGCTTTGGACATTGCCTGTGGGATGGCCTTCCTGCACACGCTGGAGCCCATGATCTCTCGGCACTCTCTCAACAGCAAGAGCGTCATGGTGAGAGATGGACACAAATGAACAGTACAAATTCACTACAGTGATATACTGTAGTTGTCAGGTGTTTCAATCATGCTTCTTATGCCTTGGTGGATGACTTCCTTTGGGTTTGAAACTCACTGTTATAATGACCTGATATTCCTTGACAGATCGATGAGGACATGACTGCCAGGATCAGCATGTCAGATGTCAAGTTCTCCTTCCAGTGTCCAGGCAGGATGTACTCCCCAGCATGGGTAGCCCCTGAAGGTCCATTACACACTCATCAACTTTTTCTCTGCTTACCGCTTTTCACCTTTGAGAATGTAAATGTTTGCTTTATGTAACTATAAGGTATACAACTCTTACAACTATGAACATGTGTGTGATCCTCTCTCTCTGTCTCTCTCTGTCTCTCTCTGTCTCTGTCTCTCTCTCTCTGTCTCTCTCTATCCTGTGCTCATGCAGCCCTGCAGAAGAAGCCTGAGGAGATCAACCGGCGGTCAGCAGACATGTGGAGTTTCGCTGTGCTGCTGTGGGAGCTGGTGACCAGGGAGGTGCCCTTCGCTGACCTCTCCAACATGGAGATCGGCATGAAGGTGAGACCACTGGAGCTCAGGGTGCTAGAAGTTATAGTCTTGTCCTTCCCAGTGCATCTCTGACATTGTTCTCTCTTTATCTCTATTCTGCCCTCAGGTGGCCCTGGAAGGCCTACGACCCACAATCCCTCCGGGCATCTCACCCCACATCTGCAAGCTCATGAAGATCTGCATGAACGAAGATCCAGCCAAGAGGCCTAAATTTGACATGATCGTGCCCATCCTAGAGAAAATGCAGGACAAGTGAAAACTGCTTTTTTGCTCTGCCTTGAATGACCCTCCTAAACCCCAGATATCTTGCCCCAGATATCACCCAGAGATGTGGTGCTTACCAGTATTGCCTTAGACTTACTCTCACTACTTACCGCTGCCCTCAATGCCACTGTAACTTAAGCCTCTGAAAACAAAAACAGTCACTTGTTCTATTCTTGATTATGATTTTTTGCTACCATCTCTTGACTTATCAAGACAAGTTTTTATCAGTACTTTCATCTACGTCACTGTCTCAATGCTGGAGCTAAGCATTGACTGTTCCGACTGTTGTTCTAATCATGTGGACTGAGTACAATCTTCTATCTGTGACTGAATAACCTGTGGAGGTCAGGATGACAATCTGTCTGTGTTGCACTGCTTCCTTTCTTTACCTTTGGAGGTCTCACTAACTAGGGGCCAGACACTGTAAAGTGACCTGCAACCTATTATTACTGATAATGAAGCTCTTACGAAAACAATACGTTGCTTTATTATCCTGAAGCTTGTCTTGTGGAACTGAGTGTGGACTGAATGGCTTGTTTCTTCCTCTGTTGTTTCAAGGGCAAGTATGCAAACAGGGTTATAGGGCTGCGCCTGCTGTTAAGACTATTTATCCAACTAAGCATTTCAATGTCCAGTATTCTTCAGGAAGTGCAGGGGACTGAATGGAAACACTTTTTACACACGTGCTACTTTGTGTTACATCGTTCATCTTACATTTACATTTTAGTAATTTAGCAGACGCTCTTATCCAGAGCGACTTACAGTTAGTGAGTGCATACATTTTTCAAAATGGCCCCCGTGGGAATCGAACCCACAACCCTGGCGTTGCAAGCGCCATGCTCTACCAACTGAGCTACAGGAGGGACACACATCTTTGATTCCAACTGATGTTGAAAGAGGGAACAAGACTCTCAGATTGGGAAGTCCAAAGTATAGTATCTAACTTCGTAAAGGCGTCCGCATACTAGGTTCGGTTTGATCCTAGCAGAACTCGGCTTGGTGACCAAGCCAACGACTGTGCCTCGCATACTCCCTGAAGACATTTGCTTGAAAAATGAGAAAAAAGCGGCAATATTACTGTTTGTCCCTCTTCAGAAGCCGTACAACAACATAGCCATAACACTTCCTCAAAATTGTCTGAATTAATCTAAGATAATGAAGAAATCTAATTAATGTTGACCTTTTTGCTGAGGTCTTAGTCGCGCAATTTTACATCTAAGATGTTTGGTGCAGTATTTCTCTAGTAAAAAAAAAAAGTTGGGTGATAATTTGTCTCATTGAACGACAACAAACACGTCATTGAATAATCCCTACTGTTGACCAATCGGCGACGAAAGGGCGTAGACTTCGGTTACCATCCTTCAGTTTGCCTCAAGAAAGAAAGTGTGCTCTAACAGCCGAAAAAACACCTGCCGAACACCAAACAAAAACTACATAACATTTTGTCATAATATATGCGCAAACTTTTTCGACTGGGAAGCATACCTCTTGTTCACTGCATCAGACATGCCCACATAGATAGTTTGTTATATTTCATTCACAGTATATGCTGCCCTCAGATCATTGGGATTTGTTTTCTTCAACTCTCATATTTGTTGAATTCTGTGTCTCTGTTTATGCCTGAGGCAATTCTCAACATTTCACAGGAGAGTGACGATGAAATGGACAATAAGGGGATAACGTTAACATTTTGCAATCTGTCACTTTGTTTCCGCTTGCTTTTTGACTTAACTGCATTGTTCTGCCCTGATATGAGTTATTTCCGTCTTTATTGGCCTATGTAATACTTATTTGTTTTTGAACATGCATTATTTTTGTGCCTCCACCAGCTTGCTTATTTCTGCTGAATCGCCGGGGTAAAAGCCAAAACCAAGCATGTCTTATACAAATGTATGTAATTTATAAGTATATTAAAAAGAAACAAAAACAATTCGGCATCTAGTCCGAAAGATCTTGTTTTGGTGTATTTCTCAGTCTGGTGCATGACAGTGGAGGTTAATTCTTGCAGTTAGGCACAGACAGGCAAAGTATCTACGGCAGAATTCCCATCATTTACTACGAAGTGTTCTGTCCAACATCACATTTTATTGGTCACATACACATATCTAGCGGGTGTCGCGAAATGCTTGTCCTCAATTGGCTGACTTTTTCAGGTCTACTATACTGAACAAAATTATGTTCAAAATGCAACAATTTCAATGATTTTACTGAGTTACAGTTAATATAAGGAAATCAGTCAATTGAAATAAATAAATTAGGCCCTCATTTATGTATTTCACATGGGTGGGCCTGGGAGGGCATAGGCCCACCTACTGGGAAGACAGGCCCAGCCAATCAGAATGAGTATTTCCCTCAGTTTCATCAGCTGTCTGATTGGATGGTCTCAGACGATCCCGCAGGTGAAGAAGCCGGATGTGGAGGTCCTGGGCTGGTGTGGTTACACGTGGTCTGTGTTTGTGAGGCTGGTTGGAAGTACTGCCAAAAATGACGTTGGAGGTAGTTTATGGTAGAGCAATAAACATTACATTCTATGGCAACAGCTGTGGTGGACATTCCTGCAGTCAGCATGCAAATTGCACGCGCCCTCAAAACGTGAGACATCTGTGGCATTGCGTTGTGTGGCAAAACTGCAAATTTTAATAATAACATTTTAGAGTGGTCTTATATTGTCCCCAGCACAAGGTGCACCTGTGTAATGATCATGCTGTTTAATCAGCTTCTTGATATGCCACATCTCAGGTGGATGGATTATTTTGGCAAAGGAGAAATGCTCAGGGATGTAAACAAATTTGTGCAGAACATTTGAGAGAAATAAGCTTTTTGTGCATTTGGAAAATTTCTGGGATCTTTTATTTCAGCTCATGAAACACTTTACATGTTGCGTTTATATTTTAGTTCAGTATATATCAGGGGTTCCCAAACTTTTTCACGGGGGAGGGGGGGGGGGGCTTCCAGCATTGGGGAACATCCCCCCCTCTTCTTATTTCTATGGGCACAAGCACTTATTTCCTGCAATTCTGCACATTTTGTCATGGGGTGCAAACATTTTTGTTTTAAAGCTACTTTTTTTTGCAATTCTATAACTTTTGCCATGTCTAATGTGTATTTATGTGATATTAGAGTGACAAAAAAATATTTATGGGCTAGAAAACCTAAATAAAAAAACATTAGCTGACATGGGCTAGTTGATCTGGACATTTCTGACAAGTTATAAATAGCTCTCTAAGGTATGCAATGACTAACATGACGAGGAACTGACGATGCACTAGCCAATTTCTAAATTGCACCTTGTGCATTTTACTATTACAACTTTCAAGAGTAATTTTAAACCCAGACTGAGTTCCTTTACAAATATATGGATGTATTTTTTTTTTGGGGGGGGGACCCCCGCGCCGCCCCTGCCGACCCGCCCCACAGTTTGGGAACCACTGTACTATGTCACTGATTTAGTACTAAAACACCTCTATAAATCTCTTTTGATAATGCATTCTGTGGACTCCGATCAGCGATCATAAGAGGGTTGAGGGCGACAAATTCGTGACGTACGCCCCCCCCCAAATCACTACTCTACAGCGCAGCATCAGTATCTGCTAGCAATCCAGATAAACGACCCCTCTATACGCCTTCATACGTGTGGAAATATGTAACAATAACATATTTTATCGAAGACACAGACAGCACAAGTAAGTAGATTTAGTAGCTAATGGCGCACATTTTAAAGTGCCGTCCTTTGTGTTCGTGTACCAATTCTGGCCATATTATTATGGGATGATGATGGCGGATGATACCCGTTATTTCAGATGGTCACCTAGCTACTGTGTAGCTAGCTAGCAAGGAGGCTAACCTAGCAAGGAGCCACCTAGCTTGCCTTTTAGTTGACTTAACGTTAGCTAAACCACATAGCTGGTATGCTAAATTAGCAATAATACAGTAGCTAGCGCTTGTCATGGCATTTAAATTGTTATTGATTGCTTGCTAAATTAGTAACTAGCAAGATAGCTGGAGAGGCCTAGCCAACTAATGTTAGCTAGTAAAGTTAGCTAGCTATATAGCGTAGCGATATGTGTCATATCTCATTGATAATGTACTGTAGCTAGCTAATGGCGCAGTTAACATTAGCTACCTAGCTTACTAGCTAGCTATTTTCTAAGTTTGCTTTAATGTGTCAACGTTAGGTAGTGAACTAGTTAGGCCGGGTAGCTAGCTACCTGGCTAGCTTGATAACATTACCTTTACCTCGCTAGCTAACTAACGTTAGTTAACGTTACAATGTCAAACAGTTGGCTAGCCAGCCAGGTCACTTGTCTCTCATAACTAAACTGACACATCTCTCACACTGCTCAATAGTTATTATCAACATTCGAGTGATCAGATGGGCAAAGGTATCTATTTTCTCTCTAACCTTACCCTCCTCTATTCCCCTCAGAGCTGCTGTATAGTACCATGGGTGGCCATGATGATGATGATGATGATGTGTCTTATCATTTAGCCAACAACCAACATCAAGATGAAGTGCTGAAAAACAAATTGAATGACAGCGGCCTTTGGAGTGACCAAGAATCCACTGGCGGCAACAATGCTAAGTGGGTCAAGGAGGGCCAGAACCAACTGAGGAAAGTAGCTGAGAAACATCAGGACCAGGACCAGAATGGGAACCAGGAGGATTTCTCCCCTCATAACACCACTGACGAGCAGCAGCAGAGAAACGACGAGCAGACCAAAGCTCCCAAGACCACCAAGACCCTGGGCTTGAAGGAAGAGGAGTCCAAGACCATTCTCAAGGAGCCACTACTCATCGACACTCTACTGTCTGCAGAGGATAAAGAGGGTGAGGGCGAAGAAGGCGACAAAGAGAAGGAAGATCAATCTGAGGCAGATGAAGAGGCCTGCAGTCTTATAGATGAAGAGAGGAAGTCCGAGCAGAGTAATGTGGAGGCTGAAAGAGAGGGAGGTGGGGTGGCTAGAAATCCCTGTCTGCTGTTCTCTAATGTAAATGGAACACCAAGTGATGAAGAAACCAACTGGCCAGCACTGTCTCAGGACAGCACTGTTGAAAGCCCTCCAAATGGAAACAAAGGTAAGGGCGGGTTTGTTGAAATCAGTTGTGTGACTTTTGTTGGAGTAATAATGATTATTGTCTAGTCTAACATAAGTGCTTCTCAGGTTGCATGCGACGTAAGCAGACTCCTCGTTCTAACCCTCCCCTTCTCTCCACACAGAGTCCTTCTGGGACTCTGAGGCCTTTGAGGCGGACACAGACCTGCCCTCTGGGTGGATGCGGGTTCGAGACACCTCAGGCACCTACTACTGGCACATCCCTACTGGCACTACTCAATGGGAGCCCCCCTCCCCTCTGGACAAGGTGGGAGACTCCATGATGTCCTCCAGTATGTCCCTGGAGACAACACCCTGTGAGGAAGAGCTTGAGGTGAGCTCTTACCCATAGGCCTTAGGGATGATTTGTGAAGTTTCTGTTCTGAGAAGTCTTAGATCAATGCTCTCCCAATTTAGAATATTTGGAGAAGAAGAGGCATCATGTTTTTGTCTGACTCTCCTAGGAAACATGGGGAGACCTCTCTAACCCAGATGAAGGGACTAGTGATGGAGAGCTGTGGAAGGTAAGAGACAGCTTGAATATTAAAATAAGTACTAATGAGAATCTGGACATGGTCAAGCCCTCATATTCAGGATATCCTTTACCAAAAGGGCAACACTGACACCACAGTAAAAAGAGAATATAATTATTTTAATATATATTTTAAATATTTTTTTATGTCTCAGATTATTCATTGAAAAACATAATTTGTAACATACACTCAACATAAACCCTCACCACAGACTCTGCGGATAAATCATTATTATGTGGGAAATAGTTGACATGGAAACAGAAGAAAAAGTAGGGTTACGTTTTTTTACTGTCTTGGCGTTTCCTAAGGGACAGAAGCAGAGCACTACGCTTCAATAGCCAAAATAATACATTCTGCCAATAACAGAGCACTTTAAATTTCCCAGCTTCAACCCTCAATATTTCAGTTTTAGAAACAGTGGATTTTAGAAGGCAGCACATCTGGATCTTGATCAACTTGGTGATAATGAATTGACAAATTCTTTGTCTTTTTTGTGATTGCAGGAGGGAGAGGTGGCTTCTGACCAGAGCCTGAAGGAGTTTGAAGGGGCAACCCTGCGCTATGCATCCATCAACCTGAAGTAAGTCATGTGGTAGCTTATCACATAACGTACTATCTCATTCTCAGCCAAAACAGTCTCTCTTAAACCCTCCATTCTTTCTCTTATTCTTTCTCAAACTATACCTGACTGGTAACTGTCTTGTAACTCTCTTGTAGCTGTTCCCAATCCGAGGGAGAGGTGAACCTTGATCCCCATGGCACTGACCTGGATGCTAAGGTACATTCAAATTAACTTACATTTACTCTCACTAAAGCACTGAGGCAGGAAGACTGTAGTCATCTGTCTGTCCCTTCCCTGTCATCATACAACTACTCTTCCCTTTCCTAATTTGACTGCGTCTGTCGGTTTATTCCTCTCACTCTCTCCGGCCCATCCTGTGTTCTCTCTGGCCTCTATTTGCTATGCCAGTATTTTGCTGTGCGTTCTCTGGGCTGGGTGGAGATGTCTGAAGATGATATGGCACCGGGGAAGAGCAGCGTGGCTGTCAACAACTGCATCAGACAGCTGTCCTACCACAAACACAACCTCCACGACACTGCTGGCATCTGGGGAGAGGTGAGTCGGAGGACCAGAACTACAGGAAGGGACTGGGGTGGGCTCTTCCTGTCTGGGGGAAGAGCCTAGGGATGGGGTTCATGTCTGGCCGAGACCCTCTTTTTACCTTGCTTTGTCTTTTTTTACCCAGAAACTGAAGCAATTACCTCTCACAGTTACTGCTATTCCCTGCAGCTGCTATGTGTTGAACATCAGAGTAATTATAGTCATCCATATGCACCACTGCTTGGGAATGTCTCTTAATCTAAAACAGGATCAAGTCTAACCACTGTTTTCTAGAATATTATCAGTTGTAGCACAGATGGGCACATTCAAATGTAATTTGGTTGATCGCTAAGCCATTCAATTTGCTATGCATGGTGGTGCTTCAGGAGGATAGTGATATGTTTGTGTTGTGTTATCAGGGTAAGGACATGCTGATGGTCCTGGAGAATGACACTATGAATCTGATCGACCCACTGGGCCAGACTCTGCTGCACTCCCAGCCCATCGCCAGCATCCGCGTGTGGGGCGTGGGTCGAGACAACGGCAGGTCAGTGTCCACTAGTCAGTCACCGTTTGGCACCACATCTGGAGGTTGTAAAGCACTGAACAACTGTGGCAGTCACATTAAGTGGTGTAGCTACACAGGCAGCCCAATTCTGATATTTTTTCCGCTAATTGGTCTTTTGACCAATCACATCAGACTTTTTGACATCCGATCTTTTTAGAGCTGAACTGATTACGGTAGTCAAAAGACCAATTTAATGAAAAAATGATCTGAATTGGGCTGCCTGTGTAAATGCAGCCTATGAGCCCTAACAGAGGACTTACATTCCTTACAAACCCCACTTGGCAATGGCATGCTCAAATACAGAACTGCAATCCTGAGACACCACTGGCCTATGGTGGGCTGTCCATGGTATTGCAATAACACCACTGGCCTATGGTGGGCTGTCCATGGTATTGCAATAACACCACTGGCCTATGGTGGGCTGTCCATGGTATTGCAATAACACCACTGGCCTATGGTGGGCTGTCCATGGTATTGCAATAACACCACTGGCCTATGGTGGGCTGTCCATGGTATTGCAATAACATTTCCTTTCAAGGCACTGACATTCACTACAAATCTGATTTTAATTTTCTACTTAAGCAATAAGACACGAGAGGGTGTGGTATATGGCCAATATACCACGGCTAAGGGCTGTTCTTTCGCACGACGCAACGCTGAGTGCCTGGATACAGCCCTTAGCCGTGGTATATTTGCCATATACCGCAAACCCCAGAGGTGCCTTATTGCTATTATAAACTGGTTACCAATGATGTTAGAGCAGTAAAAATAAATGTTTTGTCATACCCGTGGTATACAGTCTGATATACCACAGCTGTCAGCCAATCAGCATTCAGGGTTTTAACCACCCAGTTTATAATAGTGTTTTTGTAATAACTGTGATTAACTGATCATTATTTATTTTCATGCTGCATTTCGCTGCCCTATACAGGGAAAGGTATTGTACAGATATGATTATTTGCAGTTCTTCTTGATCTTTATGCTCTCATGTCCCATGGTGTTTATCCAACATATAGTTTAATTGATTGTATTTTCATATCTAACATGATTGCATGCAATACTTTTTGTTTTGCCAGTTTTTCTTGTGGGTTGTTATCATTAAAGTTAGAGAAATGCATGGGTTCATGTAGCAGTATGTAAATGGTGTACTTTTCTGTATTTGTTACAACAGAGACTTTGCTTATGTAGCGCGAGACAACCTGACCCAGGTCCTCAAGTGTCATGTGTTCCGCTGTGACTCACCTGCCAAGAACATCGCCACCAGTCTGCATGAGATGTGCTCCAGGGTGAGGCTCCCATGTTTCCCATGTAATCCCATGTTTCCCATGAGATGTGCTCCAGGGTGAGGCTACCATGTTTCCCATGTAATCCCATGTTTCCCATGAGATGTGCTCCAGGGTGAGGCTCCCATGTTTCCCATGTAATCCCATGTTTCCCATGAGATGTGCTCCAGGGTGAGGCTCCCATGTTTCCCATGTAATATACTATTTCCTCTGGAATTACTCATTTCACGATGACCTGAACATGTCTCTCCCTACATTCAGATAATGACAGAGAGGAAGCTATCCAAGCCATTTCTGAGCAGGTACAATTATGACCAGTGCAAACCCATGGAGATTCCTGCTCAAGGTAACCCCTGTGATAGTTCTAGAGTTCATTTTATAACAGAAGCAAGACACCAGACACTAACTCCATCTTCTTCCTCTGCAGAGTTTCCCGTTCCAAAAAATGAGAATTTCCTACATTTCCTTGTGTATTACCTTGGTAACGTACCTGTGACCAAGCCTGTAGGTAAGGGACGCATGGGTAAGGAAATATTTTATTTACTTGGTAGTTAGGTAAATATATCTAGCTGTGCAGTAAAACATCTGGCTGTGCTTTGTGTGGGACTGTGCTTTGCTTCACTGCATACATGGCTAGCTAGCTACTCCCATGCAGTTTACCTTGCCTTATGGATACTGTTAACAGTATAACTTTCTCATCTCCTAGGTGTGGACACAATCAATGATGCTTTGGAGGCTGCAACGAACAGCACAAGGAAGCAGGATTGGACCCCCGTCTCTGTCAACGTGGCCCCTGCCACTCTCACCATCCTCACCAGAGAGGTAGTTACTAATGAACCCATCCACAACATCATCTCTGTTACACACAGACAGTTAGTAGGAGTCATGTGAGTATGTCTCTCTCCTGACTGTGCTGTGTGTCCCCCTGTCCTCCCCAGACTGAGGAGGTGTTGTCAGAGTGCCGGGTGAGGTTCCTGTCCTTCATGGGCGTGGGAAAGGACGTCCACACCTTTGCCTTCATCATGGCAGAGGGCCCTGGGGACTTCATCTGTCACATGTTCTGGTGTGAGCCCAACGCTGCCAGCCTGAGTGAGGCGGTGCAGGCCGCCTGCATGGTGAGTCACCAGACTGGACAGTGGACTCCATTATTGATTAATCAGTGGTCTAGAGAGACGGGCAAGAGGATGATATGTTGTCTATAATATGGAACATTTCATTAATAAATGCCTGTTTCCTTGAATGGTATTGATGCATTTTAGTATCTCTACTGATGTAGTCCTGCTGTATGTCTGTGTCCTGTCCACAGCTGCGCTACCAGAAGTGTCTGGACGCGAGGCCTCCCAGCCTGGGCTCCTGCCTGACCACTCCCCCTGCTGACTCCATGGCCCGCCGGGTCAGGATGGGGGTCCAGAGTCTGCTGGGAAGCTTCAAGCAGTACAGGTCAGGGTCCCAGTCCCCCTGAGTAGAAGAGAGAAGATCTACTCCCCACCAACACTAACCCATCCCAGCAGCTTCCTCTCTCTCTCTCTCTCTCTCTCTCCTCCTCTCCTCTCTCCTCTCCTCATTCCTCGCTCTCCTCTCCTCTCTCTCCTCTCTCTCCTCTCTCTCTCGTCTCTCGCTCTCTCTTCCCTCTCCTCTCTCTCTCCTCTCTCTCTCTCTCCTCTCTCTCTCTCTCCTCTCTCCTCTCTCTCTCTTCTCTCTCTCTCTCTCCTCCCCCCCCTCCCCCTCTTTCCTTCGGCCTTACACTCCTTTTGGCCTTCCGTAGAGATAGTCCTGTCATTAGTGGCATGGAGTTATATGTAACTGAGGAAATGGCTTACTTACTAGTGATTGCGAGTGGTTTTTCTATACATCTACTGCATAACTCTCTTTTTGCTTTGTACTCAAACTGAATGAGCCCTGACAACGGCCCATTGTTTGTCCTGTTGCTGGAATTTAATCTGTTTGTCACTATTTTTGTGTTTTAGCAGAAACCATGTCTGGCAGGAAGTATTTGTATGATGGGATGTAACTACATGTTTCTTCACAGTAGGAAGTTAGGAGGATTCCACACAGAAATACATCTCATTTCTTCCTCAGTGCAATTATGGTCGAGTCATGGGGCCATGCTCCTCCCCCAAACTCCTCCCCAAAAAGTAACAGCACCTCTTTTTTTCTACTGGTGTCTAAAGAAGGTCATGCAATCACTGTTGAGCCTAGTATAGTAGAGTCTCCTGATGTTTGTTTTACCCTGTACACTCCTCAGCCTCTCTCCTCCTGCCCAACTGAGGTTCTAAGAGCCCAGGTACAGTGTCACCTAGAGAGCTTTATGTTCCCCACTGCAAACAGTGTGTTTTAGTCTTCCATTTAAAGAAGTGAGTAATTATGTGTCACGTCGTAGTGAACAACCACTGATTTCGGAGTGTACTGTAGTTGCGTTTCCCATACATTTGCATGAACATTTGCAAGTTCAGTGCTTCTGTGCAATAATCAGACTTTCCTGTATGTGGTGGTGGTAGAATGGCTTGCCAGGCTTCCATAGGCTTATATAGCAGCACACACTGTGCTGTGGTTTCTTTCATGTGGGGGCCTGGCTAGGCTATCTGACTAGGGCTTGGCCAACAAAAAGAGGCAATGTTGAAAATAGATTTCTGGTCATGGAAAAGTGACCTAGAAAATACAACAGCTCAAGGCCTGAGTTTTCTATCTGAGTCAGTCAACCACAGCTGGTACCCACCACCACTAAATAGTACTGTAGGACCACACTGCATGTTTTAATAGCTTAGAGGAATAACAAGGGTAATATCTGCCTGCAGCGGTTTAGTACTGAACTCTTTGTTATTGTAACATACTAGATGTGTGCTACTGTATGGTAAAGGGGGGGCTGTATTCTGTACCTGTTAAGTGTTTGTAAGGCATGTCACTAGCCTGTATCCGTGTCTATCAATATATAAGCTAGCTAGTAGTAGATTAGTTGTCACTGTCAGGTCCTTTCCACTGAGTAGCTGAGAGCAGGTCAGTATCTGTCTCCCTTAGTCACTGCCCTGGGACAGGGATAACATTGAGAGAGTGACTCCAATGGTTTGCATTTATGATTTTATTTATATTTTTTGTTTATTTTAATTTTTTACCACTTTTTGCTCTGTTTGGACCCTGGTCCCTCTAAGTAACGTATTTTGTATTGCTTTCATACACTATAATGGATACTACTGAGGAGCAGTTGCACATTTGCTCATTATTGATTGATTGATTGTATTAGAGAACACAAGTCAGACTAGTTGTGGTTTTTATGTAAAAAATAAATAAAAAATTAACTGTGTTTGTCAGAAGTATTTAGTGCAATAGTTAGTTGACCTATAACTAAATGAAACATGTCAAATATAGAAACACTATCTGGAATTAGACTGGATTGTTTAATACTATACTGTAACTCCTGTTCACTTATCATTGTGCTCCTTTTTCTAATTCTGTTATGTTAGTACTTCCAAGGTCAACATTAAAAACAAGATGAATACTGGAACACTAGCTGATACATTTATTTAACAATTTATGTAAATTAGGTGTATAAAATGTATCTGTATATAAAAGTCCCTGCACAAGAAATAAATGTGAACATATCTTATTTTTTGTTGGGGCGTTTTCTTAGTGGAAGAATTTGCATGGTTTTGGTATGAGGTGGCTGAGTGAAGCCATGTGGATTGGAGAGATTGTATTCCAAAAGGCAGTTGTGGATTAGCTCCGTCTGTAAATTGTCTCCTTTCGTAACCGGTGGTAGAACCACAGAAATCCTCCATTTTCAATCAATGGTTTTTATCTGACATTCCTGGGAATCCCATTAAAATGGAAGCAAAGCCAGACCAGGCAGGCTGTCTAGTCCTTTGCATATGTATGAAACTTGCTGACATTGGTTTTACCATATGTATAGTCCCGTGTAGCTCAGTTGGTAGAGCATGGTGTTTGCAACGCCAGGGTTGTGGGTTCGTTTCCCACGGAGGACGAGTATGAAAAAAAAAAATGTATGCACTCACTAACTGTAAGTCACTCTGGATAAGCGCGTCTGCTAAATGACTAAAATGTAAAATGTATTGTGAGAGGTGCAAGCATAGAGATAGACAGAGGACTCATCTTTGTATCTGTGCCATTCTAGTGTCTGTGACAGCATGGGCAGCGCCATTGAGCCGATCTCCATTTTTAAGTAGTCCATTTTCTTCTTCACGATTGGCTGATTACTCATGATGACCCGGTTGGATATGACTCCAACAGGGTCACCAGGAGGGATCAGCCAATGAAGTTGGAAGTCCCACCAAGTTGACTACATTAAAATGGTGGAAGCCCTCAATGGCGCTGCCCATGCTAGTAAGGCCTTTTGGCCACTAAAGGCCTCTATCATTCTCTGTTGGTACAAGGCCCATGCATGAATAATATGCAGAGGTCACCCCATGTCACCTGTTCATTCATGACTGTATGCTGCTTCCTCCTGGTGTATTCAAAAGGCCTAGGGAGGGATGCTGTATATAGGCTGGTTATTGTTTCCATGGGAGATAGCTTTGCAGATGAAAGGTGCACATCAAGTGGTCCAGGCCCAGACGTGTAATGGACTCTCCGTCTGTACGAGGATACCTCTCCTATTCCCTGACAGCGGGACTGCACTGCTGTGCTGTGGGACTCTTCAAGGGCTTGGCGGTTATCGGGTCCTTTTTAAGGGATCGGCCAGCTTCCAGCCACATTCACACTGGGTTGGTTGTGTGTTTGGGGTTTTGCTTGTGTTCCCTCGTCCCTAACTTTTACAATGTACTGTAGTTTGATTAATTTGAGGTGTGCTGGCTCACAGTGGGAGGGTGTCCGAGTTCAGTGTGTTGTTGATGGAGGTGACCCATATCAAAGTCCTGTTACCCTCCGCTACCTCCACCCAGAACTGGGGTTATTTTAGCGTATACTTCAGAATGCTCAAACAACATGCTATAGATTTGATCTTGGTTATTATTAAGTACTGTAGAAAATTATTTTTATTTGACATAAGTCCTTACATGAAAATGTAAGGAAATATAATTATTTCTGTCTCTGATTTTCCTCTATCCTCAAATGTATTCATATTGTTCCATATGATTCTGACTGTGCGGTGGTATGTTTTTTAGCCATCCATGCTTAAATCTCATCCTTGTGTCTCTTTATTCTACCTTTCCTATCATGCTGAAACACATTTCTAAAGGATATTCAACATGTGTGAGTGTATGTGACTAGATGTGTTTATTCACATGTGCCTGCGATAATCTTTCACACCCACTATGTGTCAATCCCAATTTAAAGGAATTCGGCTCACGGAGAAAATAATCACAATTATAATTATTTCTATAATTATGCATACGGCATTTGTGTAATGGAGATTTTTTTGAGTTAATGTTAGTCTGACAAATCCCATGGAGATTCACTGCTCAAGGTAACCCCTGTGATAGTTCTAGAGTTCATTTTATAACAGACGCAAGACACCCAGACACTAACTCCATCTTCTTCCTCTGCAGAGTTTCCCGTTCCAAAAAATGAGAATTTCCTACATTTCCTTGTGTATTACCTTGGTAACGTACCTGTGACCAAGCTGTAGGTAAGGGACGCATGGGTAAGGAAATATTTTATTTACTTGGTAGTTTAGGTAAATATATCTAGCTGTGCAGTAAAACATCTGGCTGTGCTTTGTGTGGGGACTGTGCTTTGCTTCACTGCAATACATGCGAGCTAGCTACTCCCATGCAGTTTACCTTGCCTTATGGATACTGTTAACAGTATAACTTTCTCATCTCCTAGGTGTGGACACCAATCAATTGATGCTTTGGAGGCTGCAACGAACAGCACAAGGAAGCAGGATGGACCCCCGTCTCTGTCAACGTGGCCCCTGCCACTCTCACCATCCTCACCAGAGAGGTAGTTACTAATGAACCCATCCACAACATCATCTCTGTTACACACAGACAGTTAGTAGGAGTCATGTGAGTATGTCTCTCTCCTGACTGTGCTGTGTGTCCCCCTGTCCTCCCCAGACTGAGGAGGTGTTGTCAGAGTGCCGGGTGAGGTTCCTGTCCTTCATGGGCGTGGGAAAGGACGTCCACACCTTTGCCTTCATCATGGCAGAGGGCCCTGGGGACTTCATCTGTCACATGTTCTGGTGTGAGCCCAACGCTGCCAGCCTGAGTGAGGCGGGTGCAGGCCGCCTGCATGGTGAGTCACCAGACTGGACAGTGGACTCCATTATTGATTAATCAGTGGTCTAGAGAGACGGCAAGAGGATGATATGTTGTCTATAATATGGAACATTTCATTAATAAATGCCTGTTTCCTTGAATGGTATTGATGCATTTTAGTATCTCTACTGATGTAGTCCTGCTGTATGTCTGTGTCCTGTCCACAGCTGCGCTACCAGAAGTGTCTGGACGCGAGGCCTCCCAGCCTGGGCTCCTGCCTGACCACTCCCCCTGCTGACTCCATGGCCCGCCGGGTCAGGATGGGGGTCCAGAGTCTGCTGGGAAGCTTCAAGCAGTACAGGTCAGGGTCCCAGTCCCCCTGAGTAGAAGAGAGAAGATCTACTCCCCACCAACACTAACCCATCCCAGCAGCTTCTCTCTCTCTCTCTCTCTCTCTCTCTCTCTCTCTCTCTCTCTCTCTCTCTCTATCTCTTCCTCTCTCTCTCTCCTCTCTCTCTCTCTCTCTCTCTCTCCCCCCCTCCCCCTCTTTCCTTCGGCCTTACACTCCTTTTGGCCTTCCGTAGAGATAGTCCTGTCATTAGTGCATGGAGTTATATGTAACTGAGGAAATGCTTACTTACTAGTGATTGCGAAGTGTTTTTCTATACATCTACTGCATAACTCTCTTTTTGCTTTGTACTCAAACTGAATGAGCCCTGACAACGGCCCATTGTTTGTCCTGTTGCTGGAATTTAATCTGTTTGTCACTATTTTTGTGTTTTAGCAGAAACCATGTCTGGCAGGAAGTATTTGTATGATGGGATGTAACTACATGTTTCTTCACAGTAGGAAGTTAGGAGGATTCCACACAGAAATACATCTCATTTCTTCCTCAGTGCAATTATGGTCGAGTCATGGGGCCATGCTCCTCCCCCAAACTCCTCCCCAAAAAGTAACAGCACCTCTTTTTTTCTACTGGTGTCTAAAGAAGGTCATGCAATCACTGTTGAGCCTAGTATAGTAGAGTCTCCTGATGTTTGTTTTACCCTGTACACTCCTCAGCCTCTCTCCTCCTGCCCAACTGAGGTTCTAAGAGCCCAGGTACAGTGTCACCTAGAGAGCTTTATGTTCCCCACTGCAAACAGTGTGTTTTAGTCTTCCATTTAAAGAAGTGAGTAATTATGTGTCACGTCGTAGTGAACAACCACTGATTTCGGAGTGTACTGTAGTTGCGTTTCCCATACATTTGCATGAACATTTGCAAGTTCAGTGCTTCTGTGCAATAATCAGACTTTCCTGTATGTGGTGGTGGTAGAATGGCTTGCCAGGCTTCCATAGGCTTATATAGCAGCACACACTGTGCTGTGGTTTCTTTCATGTGGGGGCCTGGCTAGGCTATCTGACTAGGGCTTGGCCAACAAAAAGAGGCAATGTTGAAAATAGATTTCTGGTCATGGAAAAGTGACCTAGAAAATACAACAGCTCAAGGCCTGAGTTTTCTATCTGAGTCAGTCAACCACAGCTGGTACCCACCACCACTAAATAGTACTGTAGGACCACACTGCATGTTTTAATAGCTTAGAGGAATAACAAGGGTAATATCTGCCTGCAGCGGTTTAGTACTGAACTCTTTGTTATTGTAACATACTAGATGTGTGCTACTGTATGGTAAAGGGGGGGCTGTATTCTGTACCTGTTAAGTGTTTGTAAGGCATGTCACTAGCCTGTATCCGTGTCTATCAATATATAAGCTAGCTAGTAGTAGATTAGTTGTCACTGTCAGGTCCTTTCCACTGAGTAGCTGAGAGCAGGTCAGTATCTGTCTCCCTTAGTCACTGCCCTGGGACAGGGATAACATTGAGAGAGTGACTCCAATGGTTTGCATTTATGATTTTATTTATATTTTTTGTTTATTTTAATTTTTTACCACTTTTTGCTCTGTTTGGACCCTGGTCCCTCTAAGTAACGTATTTTGTATTGCTTTCATACACTATAATGGATACTACTGAGGAGCAGTTGCACATTTGCTCATTATTGATTGATTGATTGTATTAGAGAACACAAGTCAGACTAGTTGTGGTTTTTATGTAAAAAATAAATAAAAAATTAACTGTGTTTGTCAGAAGTATTTAGTGCAATAGTTAGTTGACCTATAACTAAATGAAACATGTCAAATATAGAAACACTATCTGGAATTAGACTGGATTGTTTAATACTATACTGTAACTCCTGTTCACTTATCATTGTGCTCCTTTTTCTAATTCTGTTATGTTAGTACTTCCAAGGTCAACATTAAAAACAAGATGAATACTGGAACACTAGCTGATACATTTATTTAACAATTTATGTAAATTAGGTGTATAAAATGTATCTGTATATAAAAGTCCCTGCACAAGAAATAAATGTGAACATATCTTATTTTTTGTTGGGGCGTTTTCTTAGTGGAAGAATTTGCATGGTTTTGGTATGAGGTGGCTGAGTGAAGCCATGTGGATTGGAGAGATTGTATTCCAAAAGGCAGTTGTGGATTAGCTCCGTCTGTAAATTGTCTCCTTTCGTAACCGGTGGTAGAACCACAGAAATCCTCCATTTTCAATCAATGGTTTTTATCTGACATTCCTGGGAATCCCATTAAAATGGAAGCAAAGCCAGACCAGGCAGGCTGTCTAGTCCTTTGCATATGTATGAAACTTGCTGACATTGGTTTTACCATATGTATAGTCCCGTGTAGCTCAGTTGGTAGAGCATGGTGTTTGCAACGCCAGGGTTGTGGGTTCGTTTCCCACGGAGGACGAGTATGAAAAAAAAAATGTATGCACTCACTAACTGTAAGTCACTCTGGATAAGCGCGTCTGCTAAATGACTAAAATGTAAAATGTATTGTGAGAGGTGCAAGCATAGAGATAGACAGAGGACTCATCTTTGTATCTGTGCCATTCTAGTGTCTGTGACAGCATGGGCAGCGCCATTGAGCCGATCTCCATTTTTAAGTAGTCCATTTTCTTCTTCACGATTGGCTGATTACTCATGATGACCCGGTTGGATATGACTCCAACAGGGTCACCAGGAGGGATCAGCCAATGAAGTTGGAAGTCCCACCAAGTTGACTACATTAAAATGGTGGAAGCCCTCAATGGCGCTGCCCATGCTAGTAAGGCCTTTTGGCCACTAAAGGCCTCTATCATTCTCTGTTGGTACAAGGCCCATGCATGAATAATATGCAGAGGTCACCCCATGTCACCTGTTCATTCATGACTGTATGCTGCTTCCTCCTGGTGTATTCAAAAGGCCTAGGGAGGGATGCTGTATATAGGCTGGTTATTGTTTCCATGGGAGATAGCTTTGCAGATGAAAGGTGCACATCAAGTGGTCCAGGCCCAGACGTGTAATGGACTCTCCGTCTGTACGAGGATACCTCTCCTATTCCCTGACAGCGGGACTGCACTGCTGTGCTGTGGGACTCTTCAAGGGCTTGGCGGTTATCGGGTCCTTTTTAAGGGATCGGCCAGCTTCCAGCCACATTCACACTGGGTTGGTTGTGTGTTTGGGGTTTTGCTTGTGTTCCCTCGTCCCTAACTTTTACAATGTACTGTAGTTTGATTAATTTGAGGTGTGCTGGCTCACAGTGGGAGGGTGTCCGAGTTCAGTGTGTTGTTGATGGAGGTGACCCATATCAAAGTCCTGTTACCCTCCGCTACCTCCACCCAGAACTGGGGTTATTTTAGCGTATACTTCAGAATGCTCAAACAACATGCTATAGATTTGATCTTGGTTATTATTAAGTACTGTAGAAAATTATTTTTATTTGACATAAGTCCTTACATGAAAATGTAAGGAAATATAATTATTTCTGTCTCTGATTTTCCTCTATCCTCAAATGTATTCATATTGTTCCATATGATTCTGACTGTGCGGTGGTATGTTTTTAGCCATCCATGCTTAAATCTCATCCTTGTGTCTCTTTATTCTACTCTTTCCTATCATGCTGAAACACATTTCTAAAGGATATTCAACATGTGTGAGTGTATGTGACTAGATGTGTTTATTCACATGTGCCTGCGATAATCTTTCACACCCACTATGTGTCAATCCCAATTTAAAGGAATTCGGCTCACGGAGAAAATAATCACAATTATAATTATTTCTATAATTATGCATACGGCATTTGTGTAATGGAGATTTATTTTGAGTAATGAATGTGTAGTCTTGTGGAACATTGCTTCTCCTCTCAGAGCCGTGGAGTGGGCTCATATCTTCACTGCTGGGCACTTTAATCTAATCACACATCTACAGTAGAACAGCCTGGATAAAGGAAATGAACAGCAGCTTCATCTTAAACCTGGTATCAAGGTCTGGGAGAGATGATAGAAATCCCTGGAGGTTCTCATGGTGTGAATATATCCTCTTCACTGAATGAGGATTCTCAGATCCCTTAGAGGCTTTCTGGTGGAAATGTGCATTTATTAAGAATACTTTTGTTTTTCGTCGTCTTGGAGATCTGTCGTTTCTGGTAATCAGGAAAGACACTGTTGGGCTCTGAGTGTCAGTCAGGTCACAGCGAATCAATCACATCCGCAGGAGAGGAGTGTGCACAGCACAGAGGTGGATCAACTTCACACGAATCAGGAGGGAGAGAGAAGGAAACAAAGGAAGGACTGCACCAGGCAGCCTCTCTCCTGCTGAGCTAGAAAACTACAATGTACTGGAGAGATGGAAAAAGGGATATGAAGCTGATTCTTTGAATGAATTAATCATGTGGGCGTGTTGATGTTGGCTTTCCCTTTCATGGCAAAATGAAAATGTAACTTCTATCTTTAGACAACCTCTATGTGTCAAAAGCTTTTTAGTATTTTGAGGTAGTACTATACAGTGGCTTGCGAAAGTATTCACCCCCTTGGCATTTTTCCAATTTTGTTGCCTTACAACCTGGAATTAAAATGGATTTTGGGGGGGGGGGGGGGGTTGTATCATTTGATTTACACAACATGCCTACCACTTTGAAGATGCAAAAGAACAGAAAACTTGAGCGTGCATAACTATTCACCCCCCCCCCCCCCCCCCCAAAGTCAATACATTGTAGAGCCAACTTTTGCAGCAATTACAGCTGCAAGTCTCTTGGGTATGTCTCTATAAGCTTGGCACATCTAGCCACTGGGATCTTTGCCCATTCTTCAAGGCACAACTGCTCCAGCTCCTTCAAGTTGGATGGGTTCCGTTGGTGTACAGCAATCTTTAAGTCATACCACAGATTCTCAATTGGATTGAGTCTAGGTCCAAAAGACTTCTCAACAGCTTCTACCCCCAAGCCATAAGACTCCTGAACAGCTAATCATGGCTACCCGAACTAGTTGCACTGCACCCCCACCCCCACCCCATCTTTTTACGCTGATGCTACTCTGTTAATTATTTATGCATAGTCACTTTAACTCTACCCACATGTACATATTACTTCAACTACCTCAACTAGCCGGTGCCCCCGCACATTGACTCTGCACCGGTACCCCCCTGTATATATAGCCTCCCTACTGTTATTTTATTTTACTTCTGCTCTCAACACTTTTTTGTTGTTGTTTTATTTTACTTTTTTTATAAAAAAAATAAATGCATTGTTGGTTAAGGGCTGTAAGTAAGCATTT